CTCGTTGTAACCCTTATCGTGTGGTCATCATTTTATCTCGGTAAGGAAAATAAATGGTAGCTTTTTCATCTCTAGCAATGCATGTAATGCAAAATTAACTAAAAACATTCTAGATATGATCCTGATATGCTAAAGTGCAAACATAAACCTAAGTAAAAAGACTTTAAATAATAACTCTTTTGAAGAGTTATCACACCCCTAAACCTAAGTGTTTGCTTATCCTCAAGCAAATCCAATGCAAAGAATGATTATGCTAAATAACAATATTGCCAAGCCAACTTAGATTTTTAACTCATTTTTTCAGTTCTCATAATTTTTTTTATTAAATTACTACCACAAATGTGATAACATTAATTGATCTCAAATTAAGGAATATATTATCAATTTACCAAAGTCAGAATCCATAGTGATATTGTGTGCAAGCAAGGTGTATATAATAAATACTTAGCTAAATTAGAAAAAAAATTGATCTTTCTCACTTGTTTAATTTTTCAATGTTATAGAAATGTCATCCTCACTTTATTTCATTAATGGAGTCAGTGTCGGGCACCTCCAGGATATGCCTTTATTTCCATTTTATTAATAGATCCAATTTTAGGTACCTCTAGTAGATTGGAATTTTGAAAAATATTTTTCTTCTTCTTTTTTCGCATTAGAGCCCGTTTTAGGCACCTCTAGTATCCTTTAACTAAATCAATGCTAGAGTCAACGTTGGGCACCTCTAACATTTTTTTTAAATGTTCTAATGTTTGGTACGATAACTACTAGTGTCATGAGATTTACAGAGTTCAACAGTTTCTAATGTCTCTAAGTATTGAAAACATACACCCATTGTGTTAAAGTTTTCCTCAAAATCCTAAACTTAGCATGACTCTAACGCATTCCTCATACATTTCACTATTAAAAAAAATCATCATCAAACTTCATCAAAAAAGAGTTTAAAATTTTCATCAACTACAACAACATCCTAATCCTAATGCAACGACAATATGAACAAACAAAATTGCAACATGAACATGACAAATGCAAATACAACGTAAAAAACTGAGTAACACACCCCCAAACCTGAGATGTGCATTGCCCTCAATGCATACAAAAATAAATAAAAAATAGAAAAGAAAACATGGAAGAAATGACCGCAATTCTCCCCTAATGATGTTGAAGATGTTGTGTAGCAATGGTTATTTGGAACTCTTACTAATGCTGTGAAACAAAGGAAACAATAACAATACGAAACTGAGGATGATACAATGATCAATGTTTGGCAATTACGTGAAAAAAATCGAGATAAAAACATTAAATGGAACTAATAAAAACAAAACCTAATTTAATGTCATAAATGATTCAATTATACCTATTAGCTTTTCAATCATTTGTCTCCTCTATAAACAGACTAGTTAAGACACAAATCTTAAATACATAAGTTACAATATGCAAGTTTAGAACTTTGGAATGGGAAAGCACTTAGAAAATTTCTTCCAAATTCGTTCTTTCCGGTGATAGAAAAAGGCAAGATTGTGTTCGACTGATCATTGCGGTTGTGCTTACTTTTATGACCGTTTGTTGTTGTATACTAAGATACCGACGTCCAACGTTACTCAAAGCATTGAGGAGATGACGAATTTGCCTTAAGAAAATTGTTCATACAAGCCTCAATAAACCTTAATCTTCTATTTATCTGACGTCGCACGTCCGATTTCATGTCTACATAAGAGCAACCAATATCGTTCCTCTATGTTAATTCTTTATTTGTTTTACTTTGTTTGATTATATAATAATATTTTCTTATTATGATTATTTTATTTCTCGGATTAATATTTTCCAAACACCACTCAGTTGCAGCATTCACCAAATAGCATCATCTTTTTCTAGCTAAAATGACACTCTACCTATATTTTGATTAACCCCCTAATTACTTCAAAACGAGGGGATACGTACCATTAATATGTTTGGCAGAAAATTTGCAAGCTTTTCAAAGTTATAATAAGAATAAGGAATTTGCAAGTTGAATTTCACATGAAAGTAGATTATGTCACTTAAAATTTATTGCAAATATCGTAAACATGTATGTTTTTTTTGGGGGTAAGATTTTCCTACATGGAGATATGCTTGTCTGATAAAAATAGACTAATATGTTTAGACTAATATCTTCATCAATCAGAACTACTATCTTACATCTATGGATGTTTTTCCCCTTAAAGCAATTAAGGTTTTACATGAAAGGTGGTCAACCATTAGATTAATGATGTCTTTGATGTCCAACGACAACCTAGGCTAAACAAAAAAGTGGTAACTATAAGTAAAAACCACCTTGATAGACCTAGAAGCAACTGACATTTCGTAATGTTTTAATCTACTACGATTTGAATACTGATAGATTGGTACGCTGCACGAACCACTGAAGTGATTAATCAAAAAATTTTCTTTTTAAACAATGATAAAGGTCAATTGAAAATCATCCATCATAATTTTAAAATAAGACTAATAGTATTTAGGTTTACAAATATGGGATCCCCAAAATATATTAAGATTGTTTCAAATGAGTGTTTCAAAATATAGTTACGACTCGAGTACGAGAAGGTCCATATACATACATGCCCTCTAAAAGGATTCAAGGCATACTCAAAAGTTCGTGTTGGTTTATAATGCAAACTGCATGATAAGCACATCGAACGCTCATTCTACGAACCTATGCATAGAAACAAATTTCGAACGTTGTAAGTATTTGCATAAAAAATTCAAATCTATACATACATACAATGGTGGGTACCATGGTATGGTCGGAGGGTTTCGCTACATCTCAGAGACACACACCCCTCTAGTCTACCTAAGGTGGAATTTGAAATTTCTACATCAGAAATGTCCACCCAACCAACCTACTACATATGAGTACTTGGGGCATCTACGCTGACCAATATTAAAGTGCCTTGTGCACTAACTGAAACATGTTCAAACATACAAACAACCTTCTTGCTACTAGAGTAACCTAAGTGTCCTGGTTGTTTCCCGAGTATCAAACAAGGCTAGTTTTATGACTTCCTAATTTATAATGTTTCTATGTGTGATTAAAACATTAGTGTTTTTCTCACTTGAAATCTTATTTATGTAGTTCAAATGGCCTTGTATCCCCGAACTAATATAATTGAGATGAGAAACGTTCATTACCCTACTCGGGATGAGGGTATCGATACTAGATTTACATTATCGATACTGATCTCTTGGGTATCAATACCAATTTATGGGTATCGATATTGAAAATAGCTTCAATGTTTAGGGAAATTGTCTAGTATTGATACTCTTATCTGGAGTATCGATACTTCTATGTAAGGGCATCAATACTATCCTGAGTACCGATATAAAAAATGACTTTGATGTTTAAAAATTTAGTTGAGTATCGATACTCTTACCTAGGGCATTGATACCCTCGCCATAGTATCGATACTCCCTTGAGTATTGGCCAAAATATCCTATTGGAATCCTAAATAATCCTAAATCCAAAAATGGTATCGATACTGCCCCTTGAGTATCGATGCCCTAGGGACAGTATCGACAGTATTGATACTCTTAGAATAATTATCGATACTCTCAGCTAGAACACCCTATTCTTTTTACCATTTGAAGAACAATATCAGTATTATTCATGCAGTACTGATACCACTACAAAAAACCATGTTTTTTTGCACGAAAATGCAACTTAACACTACCCATTTGTCCCCCTTAAGGTCATTAAGTGGTGTTTAAATCTTATGTAAGTAGATATGGTTGCAAGGAGTCATTTTTCATGCTTAAAAACACCATAAACGAGAATCTACCATGAACTTGCTCATATGTTTCATAAACTAATACAAGCTAAGTAAATGTACTTAGTGACCCACAAATGATATAAGAATGTTAGAAATGTGTTACTTTTAGGATTAGCTTCTAAGAACCATTTCTTAAACTAAATCTTACTAAAAATGGGCTAGAAATTAATAGTTTCCTAAACCCCCACTAAAACCCAATTTATGGCTATTGTGACCCAACTTTGAGATTGAGAGCTTGAATGAAAACTTGAGGTAAAGGGATTATGATTTTTACCTTGGAAATTTCGTATTAAACTTGAAGGGCTATCAAATTCTCACCTTTACACCTTGTTTAGAAGAGGGAAAACCATGGAGGAGAGTAGGGAGATAGGAGACAAGAATGGATGAAAATAAGGGAAAATGATGAGTGGGTAAGAAATATACATCATCACCATTAAAACATATAAGCTTTTGAATCCTAAGAAGATATAATAGCTATTTTGGTCCTTCTACTTCCACTCACAATTAAAATGCCCCTCTTTTTCTAACATTTGGATCCAACCCAAGCCCAAGTCCAATCTTAAAAGGTCCAATCCCTTCCATAAGTCTACTAGACTTATTTGCATGTTCTCCGGTTAATCCAAATCTACAAACCCGAGATTCGGGTGTTACATATAATAATGTAACTTAAAAGAGCTTTTGGCTCCTGAGCCTTATATCTGTTAGTCTACGGGGGAGAAAAGACTAGTACTAGTAACTGCGATGATCAAACAAGATTTCAACCAATTTTAAAAATATTGTAAAAGATCAAATCATTTCAAATAAATTAATATCTTAAACTATGGTCTATGCAGATTGAGAATCTAGAATTAACAAGAAATTGCTTGCTGCGTACCTTATGAAGAAGTCACCTTCAAACTGTTCGGTTTTGTGCGCTAGAAATACTGGCTTACTGCAGAATCAATTGTAATCTCGACGATGGGGTATCTAAGAAAACGCAAGGAATTGTGAAGATATCTTCTACAGGATGAAACAACAAGAAATCAGCTCAATTTTCCCACTTCCAGGAAATCAAAAATCGTTGGAAGCATCAGAAAGTATACACATTTCAAGGGTTTACTTAAAACAGGATCAAAGCAGGGAGATTCAATGATAGAAGTGAATTGTTGGGAATACAAGAAAATAGTAAGCTCATCACTGCTCTCTTTGGTTAGCCACTGGAAAAAAAACAACTTCTGGATTAAAGCATCATGATTAACTGATGGGAGAGACTAAGGAAAGACAACCTAATTTAAAGCTTAAAAAAGGTGACCGAAAATGTAATGAAAACCATAACATTTTTGTTTGGACGCAACTTAAAATGTTTACTTTTTCTTACATTTTTCGGTGTTTTTATAACATTTTTGATTACCAACCGAAAATGTTATCTTCTGCATAATATTTTCAGTTCAACCGAAAATGTTAAAAAATTAAACATTTTAGGTTGTGTTCAACCGAAAATATTATGATTTTTATAATATTTTCCCTCGCGGCCATTTCATGACGTTCCTTAGCTTTAAATTAAGGTACCGTAGGGCAGAACTACCCTTAATTGATCATCATCAAACTCAACAAAAAAAGTAGATATTTTATCAGAACAGAACCATAAGTTACCGTCTAATAAAACTATTAAAATGTCATAAAGAATTTCTTGTATTATTTGTCACATCCCAATTTTTGTTCAATACAAAATCCTAAAATGCGAGGATTTATCCAAAATCGAGATTAATATTTTATTCTTGATAATTCAATTATTTTCATTTTAATTTTGGATTTGTTACTAAATTGAATAAATATTAATTTTAAAAACATTTTCTGAAAATCTCATGAAGTTTGAGAACTTGTCTCGTCATTTTATCAAATAAATCCTATTAGATCTGATTTTTTTCGTCATCCTTAGAATTAAGTTTTGATGAAATTTTATTTTTGAATGCTAATTTATATTATCAATTATATTATTTATTTATTTTAGGACTTTTATCTCTATCTCTATTTTAGTTGAATTGGTCTTAACAATCTATCAAGTATTTGTTTTGGGTAAATTACACATTTAGTACATAAACTTTTAATTTTGATTCATTTTAGTACCTAAACTTTTAATATTTTCAAAATCATACATAACATTTAGTTTTTGTTTAATTTTAGTACCCCACAATTAAACTAACAGATGAGCTAGTCGATCACCGCGTTTACAGTCATCGATTGTCGCATCCGTCAGCCGATGAAGCCCAAACTTTCCAGCCTGCACCTTTTCAACCCCCTGAACGTGATTCTGGCTTTTTTTCACCAGAAAATATCTCAATCTCCCAAATCAACGATGGACTCTTGGACTTCTTAATCCTTGAATATTCGTCGTTAATTGTCTGATGGGCCTAAAATTGAACTATGATGGTCAACTCATCATTTTCTCATTGTCTACCTTTCAGATTGGTCATTCGTCCACCAGAGCTATGACCCGTCAGCTAGTCTGTTAAGTTTTAACAGTGAGGTACTAAAATGAAACAAAAACTAAATGTTAGGTATGATTTTGATTTTTTTTTGGAAAGTTTAGGTACTAAAATGGACTAAAACTGATAGATTAGGTACTAAATATGTAGTTTATCCTTTTGTTTTTCTTAAACCAATATATTGCCACAAAATACAAAGAGAAAAAAAAATCATATTCTTCATTATTGTTTCGTTTCAAATTGTACGACTATTAATTTAGTTAGTTTTTCTAAAATCATGTGATCTCTGTCCACTATTCTTTGACTTAAGATTCAGACCAAAAAAGTCTTTGCTCGTTAGTATATTTATTGTTATACGATTTAAAGTGTATGTCTTACCGTGCTACAAACGTTTTAATTCTGTTTAATAATTTTTTGTTGAATTTGGAATAACTATCTTCTAATCGATGTCGTTGTGATGTATTCGAATCTCCGTGTGTCTCTGTTAAGTGCTATAGTTATTTTTGTGTTGATTGATTGATATATGAATTGAAAGCATGAATGTCCTATGAATTTGATTGTATTAAATGCAATTTGAGAAAATGTTGTGTGACACATGTTGATTTATCATATTCAGAATTTATGCTATGCATTCGGACTATGTGATTATGTAATTTGTTTTACATTCATATCATATCGAAATTCGGATAAATTATGTTATCATGTCATATTGGGCTGAGATTGATAAGCGAAGTTCAATGTATTCACTCGAAGAAGTGAGTTTCACTTCAAATTATCAGTGCCTCCTCTCTTCGAGGCGAACTCCACTTCAGATGGTGTGTAGTAGAGAGTAGTTATGGGGAACCTACTCTTCAGACGGTGTATGGTGAGTGGATGCATTTATATTTGCATATTTATTCGTATCATGAATATTATGACTTGAACTGTGATTATGCTTGTTTGATTTTCTGAATACTTTGTTTATCCACACATTTTAACCGTATCGAGCTCTAGAACACCCCTTTATTTCTCCCTTTCAGATATATCAAGATATTAGGATCAGATCGGTAATTCGAGGACCGAAGTCTTGGATTTAAATTATTTTTTTAAAATTATTTTCTCATAAAGTGTTAATAACTTTATAAATTATTTAAAAATCTGGTTTTATATCTGTTAAAATTTTTGAATTAATTTTTGAATCACTCTAATGATCAATGTAACTTAGATTTAGCCGTAACGAATAGGCCGAGATAGGGATTATATTATTATTTTTAGATGCGAAAGAAAGATGATCACTTTCCTGTTTGATCACTACTCAGTTAAGCAACAAATCAACAAGTTACATACCAGGCCATTTGATGATCTATCAATCTATGATGTGTCTCGTTCTTATTGCCAATGCCAACCTTTATTTCTTTTACACTTTTATGTTACACCCGCTTTAAGTTTAATTTTGTGTGTATATATATTATTGATATAATAAAATCACTGAAATTGTATAGATAGTAATTGATTACAAAGAAACATATTTGTATATAAAGAGGGTGTTACAATATATCGATTTTTGTTAATAAAAAAAGCATTTTACAATACAAATTCAAATGTCAACAAAATAGCGATCTAGAAAATAGTTGAGATCTGTAGCTACACAGACTTTCGATAACTCTTTGGTTCTCGAGATCTTTGGTTTCTCACGAATTATATATAATATCTTTTTTTAATTTAGAATAATTTAAAAATAGGCAATTTTGGGGCTTGATTAGTTTGAACGTTCACATCCTCCGCATTGTGTAAAAGCACCCATACACCTACATGAAAGGCACAATCCCAACCTATGTCATTCAATGACTAGCAAGTTATTTGATGTATATAAACTATCATAACCATTATTTTGTCAAAAATAAAATTTATAATATTATGAATTTATTTTAGAAATTTTGGATTTTCGTTTAATTTGAATTTTAGAGTCACCATCGACATTTATCTTAGGTAGGTCGAGCACATAATAATATCTTTTAAAACAATTCTAAGGAAAATCATTTTAAAGATAAAAATTGGGTCTGTGTATTACCAGAAATTCATTTTTAAAGATTCAGAGTCATTACGCGTGGGGAAGATTAGTGTTGCGCTGTGAGTGCTTATAAATATACGTGAAAATATGTACAAGTATACACAATCAAACAAGTAATATAGAGTAAGTGAGCATCATCTCCACAGGGATTGGAGGAGACTAGTTAGGTTAAAGCAACAAATTACTTTATCTAAGTATAGCTAATGGTATGCACAAATGGTTATGTCAAGACAAAATGAAATGTGTATAGATGGGGGTAGAAATGATAGTGTGAATGGTTGACAAATGAGAATATCTTGGAAAAAGTAATTGTTTAAAGTGTAATCAAATGAAAATGCTAAGGTAAAACAGATTGATCACTTGGGAAATAAAAAGGATGACTTGATAATCCTCACACAACAAGCTATTATGGGAATGAATGGTGGGGTCACTTAGGAATCTCAAGCTTTGTCTTTTAGGATGGTCTAAACTTCTATGCCTTACTTGCTCGACAGAGCTTACTACAAGTACCCTACGCTAATTCTAGTCATGGGATATAACAGATAAGAATGCCACGACAAATCCTCTCAGCCTGATGCATCAACATCTAACCTATCGATTCGGCACTACTCCTTTTAGTCGTTGAAATCCTAACCTCGTCTTTGACGGTGGATTAGACTCTAGTTATCAGCTAAAGCCCACTTCTTACGTCGATATTCCTTTAGTTTCTCTCAAACAATAAAGATCATTCACGTAGTTTCTCTCGAACACTAAGTAGTATACTTAAGAAAAGGCTATTCTCATAGCTCCTACAATCTTAAGTAATTAAAAATAATAACAAAACAAGTAATAAACATAAAAATATCAATCATCCATTAAAAAAATATTTAATCATCCATAATAAACCCCACCAAATAAAGTTAGTTCATGGTGGGGTTTGAATAATCCATGACAATCATTCGTTCCTTACAACCCATAAAATATGAATAAAATAAAGCATAAGGGTGGAGAACAAACTCCAAATGAGCAATGTCAGAGCTCCCTCGGCTACCACAAACCACCTTAGTGGTGCTAACTCCTCTCAGGACACTTAACTCACCACTCCCTCAAGCTTGAAAATGGAAGAACACCACGAAAGGGATGAGAAAAAAGAAAGAAAGTTGGAAGCTTAATGTTGCCTCCCTTTCCTTGTTCATCTTACTTTTCTCCCAAGAAGATGATTCCTCTTTTTGTGGTGTCTTAATCTATTAAACCAAGAGAATATACTTAGGGTTTTGTGTCAAAATGACAATGGTACCCTAAGGTACATCCCCCTACACGTGAAAAGAGAGTACAAATATGGTAGTGATCCCCTCCTAGGTGGCAGGCAACAGGAATCACGTGATGGCTAGACAATTGACTCTTTTATAAAAATATCTTTAGCTCGTTTTTGTCTTTTTTGTGTCTAGAAATTCCATCCTAGCTATCATGGAATTTTCATTTTGCTTCAGCAACTCAGTTTTCCCCGACAATTCTCCTTGCACACCCTTTTGCTTTATGACCTGCACATCATCAACCATACACAATCTTTCCCGTAAAGACGCGCCAATTTTTCATGACAAATTAAATCCACCACATGCAACTACATGATCCTAAATGCATCTATATGGTCCTAAATGTGCCTTAAAACAATCAATAACTTAAGTAAAAGGCCCTAAATATAGCCTTTTTATAGAGT